GCACGAGAGAGAAAGGAGGAGGGGAAGAAAATAGAGGGGGGGAGCCGCCGCTGGGACCACTCCGGGCGGCGTCTTCCTCACCGGCTAGGACGGCCGCCCCGACCGGCGTCTACGGCAACCACGGCTGTCGCGTGAGGCGTGCGAGAGAGAAGGGGAACGGAGGAAATGAAGCTAGGGTTTTTCCGCCCGTGGCCGACCCGCCGTTTTGTTCGCCCTAGACGCGCGCTCGGCCATCGGATGCGCGCGGACGGCCGAGATTAAGCGGGCCGCGTCGCGGCCTAGGCGGGATAGAGCGCGAGGCCAAATTCCCGGCCCAGGCCCAGGTTATGGCCTGGGCGCGGGGGAGCGCGCAGGAAGACGCCTGCAGCCGTGGGCCGTGGGTCGTTTGCGCTGCTATGGGCCGAAATGGCTGAACACAGTGAAATTGAATTCGTTTTATTTTTTCCAGAAACTTTTGATATATATTTGATGAATTACAATGTCCAACTCTGCACAATTTTGATCCAATGACAATTTTGTTCAGAGAAAAGTAAAGTTCTATAAAGTTTCTGAAAAATAATAATAATGAGAATAATTATGTTTTCCGCTGCAAAGTTAAAGGTTTATTGTCTTCTAATTTGAAGATCAGTTATAGTTATTCAGTAAATGATGAAAAGTTTATCATCCAGTTAAAATTGGAATCAACTGAAAAAAAATTAATTGGAGGAATAGTCGGTTGATAGTTAAGATAAATTATAATATTATTATTTTCTGATCAACGTTGATGATAACAATATTATAAGTTTATTTATGAGTTGATAGTTAAAGTTAAATTATGGTATATTGTTATTTTCTGACCAACGTTGATGATAACAATATTATAATTTTCTGAGTTTTATGATTAAAGTTTAAATCTCTGATGAATTTTGCATCAAAGTGACCAATTTTCAAAGAATAGATAAAGATCAAGGAATGCTCTTAAACTAGAGAAATGTATTTCATGTTTCCGCTGCAACAAAGTTGATTGTCTTCTAATTAAATTCGAACCAACAGAAGAATTTAATTTTGAGGAGCAGTTTTGTGTTTTCAAGATTATTGAATTTCTATACGCTAATTCCATTTCTGTCCAACGGTGATGTGGAATTAATGTAGAAGAATGGTGTTTTATTCTATTTCTGCCCAACGGTGATATAGAATAGAACATAAAGATTTCAAAGTTTAATGAGCATTATTGTTGAATATTTTTCAGATAAAAGATTTTCATGCTTTCATTCTTGAAGGCGGTAAGAGAAATGAGCTGGGTACTTGTGACTCAGATGATGAAATACCTAAGGGCAAGTTATGTATGAAAGAATGCCATTGCTTAAGGGACTGTGTTCTCTTTAAAGAATGGCTTCAAAAGAAAAGAATTCTAGAATATTGATCCAAGAAAAGAGATAGATCAATGAGTCTTCATTGAGAAATGTCTTTTATGTACTCTCTGTGAAGAAAATTTATTTTCAGTTTCACTTATGAGAGTTGTAAAAGTCATATACATGTTTAATTTGACCAACATTGGATTAAACATGTGTGTTAAAAGAATATTTAGATTTATTTCTGAGTTTGATAATTGAACATGAGCTAATCCTGGCAAATATGTCTGTTCAAAGGAATTATCTCGCATGGCGGAAAAAAGTTTGTGATAGTACCCGCATGGCGGAAAAGTTTGTGATAGTACCCGCATGGCGGGAAAAGTTTGATGAAATACCCGCATGGCGGGGTAAAGTTGGCATAGTACATATGTTAACCAATCCTGCATGGCGGGAGAGTTTGGCATAATACTTATCCCGCATGGCGGGAGAAGGATATGATGACTCATGTGCTCTAACTGTATCCTGCACATGGAGAGAAGTTTGGGGTAGCTCTTATGCTATCCTAGTACTGACCGTACACTCTTATTGTATCATGGTCATTAAGTACTCAATGAGTTTAAGAACAAAAGAAAGTTGCATGTGAACCAAAAGATAAGAATGATATGCAAGCGTGACTTGCAGAAGTATTGATAATAATAGACTATGTTGAGTTTTGAAGTGTAATGAGGAAAATGTACTCCCATACAAATTTTGTCTACATGATGTAATCATGTGGATGAAGTAAGTAATCAAAGTTTCCTCATTCACAAGAGTTCTGAATGTTTCGAAATTGTGGTAGAAAAGTTCATACCACATTTCGAGGGGGAGAAATGTAAGATTAATTAAGAAAGATACTTCCCCATACTTCTGATAATGCAATGCATACTATGCATTGAAGGTAAAAGTGATCTATAAAAGATGAATGTGATCGTTGAGGGAGTAAGACGGTCATAATAACGATACCCCTAAAGTAAAGAAATAGCTAAATTCCTAGACTTTTTATAGTTCCAATGGGAAGATAGCATAGTCGGTTAGTATTCATACTGGATGAGTTCAGAGTTATCAAGGCGGTGCTAAACGCGCCATATGAGTTTATAGCAGATTAAACCCAAAATTAGAAATTTGTAGATACACCATCTTTACAGAAGATGGTGTAATCTGGGGGAGCATGGTATGTACATACCTAAGGCTTGAATAGAAGTGGGATTACATATCCACTATAGTGTTTTTAGAGCAACAAATTGCTTTATACATGCTGATGTTGTATGACATATACAACACCAGATGTTAGCTCTTAAAGAGGATGAATAAGTAAACAAGGATCTTGTGATACAGGAGGCTATAGAACAATTGCCTTTTGGCAATGAAGAGTAACAATAGCCCCATATGAAAGAAGTGCCACAAGGCCCTAGAAGGTCTCAAAGAATAAGAAAATCAGATATTTATGGTGACTAAGAAGTAAAAGTTAAGAAAGAAATTCAAATAGAGAGTGGTTCCACCTCATTTGAAGAAGCCATGAGAGGCGTTCACTCGTCTAAATGGCAAGAAGCAAAGGAACATGAAATGAAATCGATAAATACCAACGATGTTTGGGACTTAGAAGAAATTCTTAATGGAGCCAAAACAGTAAGCTATAATGGGTCTACAAGACAAAGGTGACTCCAAAGGGAATATAGAAAGATATCCAAAGGGAATATGGAAAGCTACAAAGCGCCACTTTTGGTGAAATGATTTACATAAAGAAAAGGAATAGATTATAATGAGTATGCAAGGATTCTTTTAGAATCATAATGGTATTAGTGGCACATTACGATTTACAGTTACATCAGAAGGATGTAAAGACACATTCCTCAACGGGGATTTGTATGGAAAAGTTTACATGGCATAACTCAAAAGGTTTTGTCGTGGAAGAAAAAGAACGTAAAGGGATATTGCCTAAAGAAATCCATTTATGGATTAAATCAAGCTTCAAGACAGTGGTTCTTGAAGTTTGACAGTACAATAAGAAAATTTAGGTTTTAAAGAGAATGTAGAGGACAATTGTATTTATGCAAAGTTTAAATATGGGAAATTTCTTTTCCTAATCCTGCATGTGGGTAGCACCTTACTCGCTAGTAGTTGTGTTAATCTACTGTTGGAGAAGAAGCAGTTCTTGTCCTCAAGTTTCAATGAGAATGGTCTTGGTAAAGTATCATTCGTTCTAGGAATTGGAACTTACCGAGATAAAAAAGAAAAGGGTATTAGAACTATCTCAAGTGTATCCTTAGAGAAGATTCTAAAGAAATAAAGTATATATGTGAATAAACCTGCGACTGTTCCTATAGTCAAGGGTAATAGTTTTCGGAACTTTCAGTGTTCCAAGAATAAATGTGAGATCAATCAAATGAACGTCCTATATGCTTCAGCTGTTGGAAGCTTACTGAATGCTTATAAGCAAGAACTTACCCTGACACAGTTTATGTATCCGGGATGTTTTTGGCAGAAGTCCAGTCTAGATATAGATAACTGAAATGGAGTTGAGAATGTTTTGCAATTGTGCAAAGATTTATAGGCCTCATGGTGAGTAAGAAAGAATAAGTACTCTCAAATAGTTGTGGGTATAAAAGTTAAATTTTGGCGAGATATTTAGTGAAACCCACATAGTAGCTAACACTCGCAGTTGGAGTTTTATTGTGGAAAAGCTCCAAAGAAACAGTTATGGTGTCATCAAAGATGCATACCTATGGTATAGCTTGTTATGAGGCTTAAGGACAGGCGAAATGGTTAAAAGAACTTACACCCGGAATTAATAATGGTATACAACAGCAATAACCATTTAAGAAGTTTGCTCCTATAACAACGAGTCAAGTGTGCTGCCAAATACATTGACGTTAAAGTTATACGTTGTGAAGGAGAAAGTCCGGAATCATACTGAAAGTATTGAACATAAAAGTAACAAGCAAGTGCTTGCGGATCCACGTACAAAAGGCTTACCACCCAGTGTGTTTGGAGAACACACAGTCGACATGGGTTTATGGTATAGCCTATGATTTCCGGACAATAAAGGGCCCAAAAGTTAAAGAATATGTTTCAGAACAGAGACGTGTATTGTAGCTGTTAAGTCTATCGGCGATTGACCGTGACGATGAAGCATGCTCTATGCACTAATCCGTGATGGAACAAATAAAAGTGAAAGGGATTAAAGTCAAAGTTTAAAGTTAAAGTATGAGTTGAGATCAAGGGAGAGAATGTTAGAATTGATCTCATCCGTCTTGACCCAACGGTCGAGACGGACCCCTTGACCGCGTCCTGATCGGGGACGTCCAGCCATCTAGTGGTTGGTGGGCCCCCGTCGCATAGTGCCTATAAAGAGGAGGTGGGGCAAACGGCTCTTAACACGAGGTCCACCGCCGCCACAGCCCCACTGTCCTAACCCTAATCCGATCCAGAGGGTGGCACTGCCAGCGGCGGGAAGCGCCACTGCCTCCACCACCACCGGTCTCCACAGCTACACCAAACGTCGCTGCCCGTGTGCAGATCTTCACCGACGAACCAGTGAAAGCAGGAAGCTCCTCTGACGGTCAGATGCTCCTACATCTCCCTCTCTCTCTCTGTCTCCTACTCTCGAAGCAAACTCTAGGTCTATGTGATTCAATTAGAAAAAAACTCACCCACTGGATCCACTACTAGATGATCCAAACTATCTAACATGACGAAGCAGTCATGGAAGAGCATTCGAATGAGTCCCGCACCAGTGCCAAGGTTCTGTTGCACCGCCTTCTGGACGACGCCCCTCACGATTGCCTCGGCATTTGGGCACGAGCTGTCGTAGAAGCCTATGGCGAGGCCATCGGCACTAGGAGCTGGGGAAGGCGTCGGCGTCGGCGTCGGGCTGGGGTAACTGTAGCCGGCTGAACCCGATCCGGGGGAGCCGTAGTCAGCTCGGCATGTGATCACTGTATCGAGCAGCAGAAGCAAGGCCGTCGTAACAGCGAGCAGCTTAGCCATCTGAGACTGAGAGACCGATCGATCGAAGTGCAGACAGACAGGCAGACAGTACAGTAACAGAGACTCAGAGAGAGCTAGCTAGATGAGGGAAGAAGCTGACTTTCAGACCGAACGCTGGGCTGGCTGGCTGGGGCTGGGCTGGCCAGCCACCTCACAAAAAAACTGTTTATCTGAACCAGCCAGCAGTACTTTTTTCTCACATAAACGAACCAGCAACGATATGAACCAGCCAACAAAAAGGCTGTTTAAAGGAAGGTGAAGTGAGTAGTGATGGATGAAAGCTTAGCTGCTGGTTCGCACGGCTATTTATATTTATTTATAGTCGACGTACGTGACGTGCTGCGTCGTCACAGGAAGAAATTAAGAATGTGTGTGTGGTCTGGTCGGTTCATTTGTTTAGTTCAATGCCAGCGAAAAACATGGGTGGCACAACTACGACGTACTCACAGGATGGTTGACTTGTGATGTGCATACAATTTGTTTTGCTCCGTCTGAACAACGTTGTAACTTGTAAGCGTCTCATTGGACTGAATTAACTTTTGTAGGTGGCAACAGGGAGACAGATGTTTGTAAGAGATGTTATAACCGCCATGCATGATAAGTTTGCTTGGTTGTCCGTTAACTAGCTAGCTTGATAGAAGTCTAAAATTAGCTAGCTTGAAGACTTTTGTGTAAGCGCTAGCTAGAATTAACCAGAGTGAGTTGGAGATTCTTCCTATAGCTCGCTTGCCAATAATTTTAGCTGTCAGGTGGACGTCTTTTGGACACTCATTTCTTCACGAAAGGAGTACTAGAGATCATATAATATATAATGCACGCATGCAGAGCCCATCTATCTATCATCATTACATTACATGCCGTGATTTACGAACAGTGTATATATGGTAGGGTGCTGAATTGCTAATCGAGGTGCTGTTGGAAGGAGAGAATGACAACTGATGGTCGGTGCTAACGACTGTTTTTAGTTTATCTGTCAGCGGCCGGCCCGGCCGGCCAATACACGTACATTCACTGAAATAGCAATTTTTGAAGATTTCCACCGAAATAGCAATTAGCAAAGCAACATGAGTTTCCAGAGTAAGTATGCACCCCAGGTACTACATGGGAGGGAAGAATAAGGTGGTTCATCATATGAGGCTCTCTATGGTCGAGATTGCCAAACCCAGCTAAATTTATCGGGAGTTGAATGGTGAAGTTTTTTTTGGGTACAACTTGGTGAAAGATTTGGAAGAAAAAGTTTCACAAGTAAGCAAATGTTCAATGGCAGCCCAAGAGCACTATATAATCCTTGAGCAATGGCGATCCGCGCCCCCTCGCATCGGCCGAGGAAGGGGCCGACCCGTCGGTGCCCGATCGGCCCATGAACGGCCGTGACCGTCAGTCTCGTGGCGAAACCACCGAAGCAACTGGCGGGGCATCCCCCCGTTGGGGGTCGCGCACACGCGCTGACCGCGAAGATGCAGGGGGACAATCACGTCCCCCCGACCGACCGGTGTGCTCCACCATGCTTGGAGTAGGGGGGCGCGAAGCCGACGACGCCTCCGAAGGGCGCGGCGACCGCGCCCGCTTTGCCTCTCGTTCAAGGGCGGTGTCTTCACTCGCAGCACGCTTTCTCGATTCAGGAACGTCGCCGCGCGTCTCCACATCATGCCCGCCGCCGACGGAAGCAACCACGGGCTCACGGTGCTCCACCGAGGTCACAACAGCGCCCCTGACTTCTTCGTCCTCCGAGGCACTTGTGTCATCACCCATCTCCGTGAGCTCCTCCGACTCGAGCTCCACCTCCATGTCACTCCGGCTCTTGCCCTCCTGGACCCGCCGGTTGATCTCCTTCTCCTTATCGAATCTCCTCCGGGCCTTTTCGGCTTTCTTCTTCTTCTTGGCAAGCGCCGCCTCTCTCTAGGCAGCTTGCCGAGCCGCGCCTTCTGGCCCTCTCGGAAGATGCGGATGGAATTTATAGCCCACGAGTCCCTTCAAAACAGACAACTCGGAATCAATCAAAACATCAAAACAAGAAGGATAAGGTCACAAAAAAGGGGGAGAGGGGCATACCAAGTTGGACAGCTTCGCGGCATGAAGGGGCCCGGACGTCCCTTCGAGGGAGTCTTTATCCCTCAACTGCAGTTCCCGATCGAGACGACTCTAGACTTCATCCTTTGGCAACTCCTCCGGCGACGCGCGGTCGAGATCCATGGGGCTAGAGTATTCCCACATCGGTCGCATTCTTTCCGCCAATGGGGCGACCCGACGGCGGAAGAAGGTATGGAAGACCCGCAACCCGTCGAGGCCATGCTCCACAAGCCTCTGAAGCTCCGTCTCGATAACCTCCAACTTGTTTTGTCGACCGGCGGGACCCCATAACCAGTTATCCCTCCTCTCCGGCCTTTTTCCAGTAAACGTCGGGAATGGCGCTTTCACTAGGTTCCTAATGTAGAACCACTTACCATGCCACCCCCCGTTGGAGTCACAGGGGGAGTATGCTGGGTAGGGGACCGACGACTTTGGCTTCTTCTACAAAGCGAATCCCCCAACCGACGCGACTCTAGGTGGCTTCCCCTCGGACAGGGCTCGCCCGCTGAAGATTCGTCAGAAGAGGTCCATCTGTGGCTCCATCCCAAGGAAGGCCTCGTAGACGGTGACGAAGCCAGCGATGTGCAGTACCCTAGTCGGGTTGAGGTGCTGCAGCTCAAGCCCCACTCGTTGAGGAGCCCGCGCAAGAACTAGTGCGCAGGATACCCAAGCCTGCGCTCATGGAAGGCGAGAAAGAAGATGACCTCATCGGCCCAGGGTTGCGGAACAACTTCCCCCAAAGCAGGAGCCCTCCAATGTGCCACCTCCTTTGATGGGAGTAACCCCTTCTCGGCGAAAGCGGTCAGCACCTCCTCATCCATGTTGGAAGGCCTCCAGTTCTACATCGCGCCTCGGATTTACGAATGAATCTGTGAGTTCTCATCTCCCTCGCTCTACCCTCCTCTCTCCTAGAAACCTGCCGTGGCACACGAACAGACTTGGCGAAAAGGAGGAAGGAGGAATGGCAGCGGTTGAAGGAAGGCAAAAGAACGGAGGAAATTCCTCTCCCTTCCCCCTATTTAATGTCGAAAGGCATACGGCGGGACGTGGCCCTGGCTGAAGGGACGCACCCTGCCCAACAAAACATCACCCGGTTAGCGGGACGTGGCCTAGGCAGGGCCCACCACTACCGCAAACCCCGGCGCGGGAAATAAGGCGCAACCGCACGCAAATGATCCTCCGCCTTCCCACGCAGGGTTTGAAAGGGCCCACCAACGGAATCTCCATCGAGGAGAGGCCAACGGGTCACCCGGGTCGATCGGACAGCTCGAGCGACTGCCAAGAGACAGGTAAGGAGCAACAGGATGCCTCATGCGGGTTATGCCGACCCCATCATGAATGACGGACACGGATCTCATTCGGACATATCCGATAGGAGCTCCCTAGACCCATCACTCGAGCCATCGAGGTAACCTTACCAAACCCCCTTTTTTGTTTTCTAGTGCATAATCATTCATTCATCCATTCTCATACATGCAATTATATATTCATCCCAAACATCCAAGCATTGCATATGCAGTTGTTGCATCACAATGCTTTGTGTTGCGCCATGCAACGATAGTCGCCTCATTCGATATGAGCGACGATTGACCGAGGTTCGAAGGCCAGCCCGCAAAGGGCTCGAGGCTGCCTTATGTCAAATAGAGCCAGGGGAGAAAACTGCAGATGAGCCCTAGCGGCCCTCGCTCGATCCGCTCAGAAGCGGATAGGGTCATCTCAACCTTCTCATTTGATCCTGACCTCAAGCCATGCCCATAGAATCTCCATCGAGGGGAGGCCAGCGGGCCACCTGAGTCGGTCTCTAGAACGGCTCAGGCATCTACCGAGGGTGGGTTAAGGAGCAGTGGAATGCCACATGAGGGCTATGCCGACCTCGTTACGAATGATGGACCCGGATTCCACTCGGACGTGCCCATTATTAAGCTCACCGAGCGCGTCACTCGAGCCATCGAGGCAAGCGATGTTAGCTCAACCCCTCCGGTTATGGAAACCGTGGATGGGGTAACGCACAAAACTAGACCGACCCCTCGGCTGTGCCCGACACTTGGGTTGGCGCTCCATCTCGCCTGACCCCTCGGCCGCACCCGACACTTGGGTTGGCGCTCCATCTCGCCCGACCCCTCGGCCGTGCCCGACACTTGGGTTGGCGCTCTGTCTCGCCTGACACCTCGGCCACGCTCGACACTTGGGCTGGCGCCCAACATTTGGGTTGGCACTCTGTCTCGACTGACCCCTCGGCCACACCCAACACTTGGGTTGGCGCTCCATCTCGCCTGACCCCTCGGCCACGCTCAACACTTGGGATGGAGCCCGACACTGGGGTTGGCGCTCCGTCTCACCCGACCGACACTTAGGATGGCGCCCAACATAGGGGTTGGCGCTCCGTCTCGCCCAACCCACACTTGGGATGGCGCCTGACACTAGGGTTGGTGCTCCATCTCGCCTGACCCCTCGGCCGCGCCTGGCACTTCGGTTGGCGCTCTGTGTCGCTCGACCCCTAGGCCATGCCCGACACTTGGGTTGGCACTCCGTCTCACCCGACCCCTAGGCCACGCCCGACACTTGGGTTGGCGCCCGACATTTGGGTTGGAGCTCCGTCTCATCCAACCCCTTGGCCGCGCCCAACACTTGGGTTGGCGCTCCATCTCGCCCAACCCCTCGGCCACACCCAACACCTAGGTTGGCGCTCCGTCTCGCCCGACCCCTCGGCCGCACCCGACACTTGGGTTAGCGCTCCATCTCGCCCGACCCCTCAGCCGCGCCCGACACTTGGGTTGGCGCCTGACATTTGGGTTGGTGCTCCATCTCGCCTGACCCCTCGGCCGCACCCGACACTTGGGTTGGTGCTTGACATTTGGGTTGCGCTCTGTCTCGTCTGACCCCTCGGCCGCGCCTGACACTTGGGTTGGTGCTCCGTCTCGCCTGACCCC